ACCTCCTTTTCAAAGCTTGGATTAACACAATAGATCTAAAAGAGCTCTATGTGTACTTAAAATGAATAAAAAAATAAAAGGCTATTTTGAGTTTAAAAATACCAACAAGTAGAACTTCAAGAAATGTAAACATAGTCATTGGAATGAAAAACTCGGTAGTTGGTTAAAATCCAGTTTAGAATCAGCTAAAGAGAGAATGAATAAATTGGAAAAGTTATTCAGAATGTAACAAAAGGAGATAGAGAAAAAATGATATAGAAGTTAGAGACATTGAGGATAAAATGAGATGGTACAAAGTATATCTTGAGTCTTTAAGAGGCTAACCGAAGAACCTCAAAATAAGGCAAAACTTGACATAATTACAAAGAAAAAGGTGATAGACCATAACCACAGAGAAAGATTTTAAGAAATCTCTCTTAGAAACTGATAGATTGATCAGACCAATTCTGGGATTTAGAACATTTAAACAATCGAATAAGCTAACTTGTGCAAAAGGACAATTAGGGACATTCACCACCAAAGAGAACTTATTTGTTATGTAGCTCACGTGAAACCATTGGAAAAAGTGACCACAAAATAGCTCTTATGTAAGAAACTTAGCAAATACCAAAGAATCAATATTTTGCAGTACCATGAAGTCTGGAATCAATAACAAAAATGCAGTTTGCTAAAGCCACACTTGGTAACTGAAAATACATCTTTATGAGTCATGATTTCATGAAGAAATGACAATGGGAATTAGAAAATGTTTAGAATTCTATAACCACGAAACCGGCACATACGGAAGCCTTTATGACATTGCTCATGTGGTCCTTTGTGGGGAATTTAAAACTTTAGATTCATATTTTGAGAAACAAGGAATACTGAAAAGAATTTCGGAAGCCGTTACAATCAGGAAGCGGAAAGAGAAACAACAGAATACTCCCCAGAGGCAAGAGACACACGCTCTCCCCGTCCCGTTAGCTTCGGGACCTTTCCCGCTTCTGCAAGGCTGGCTTAGCTGTTCCTTCGCTGAGCTCTCAGAGTAACATGCACGTCCTCATGGCCCCGCTTTCCACACTGAACCCCGTGAAGGCCAGTCCTTCTCACTGATGAGTTCCCAGCATTTCGCAGTGCCCGGCACACACAAAGAACGAAGACAGAGTGGACACGTTCCCCATGTCCCTGGTGTATTCCTAGGGGACGGGAACAGACTCACAGAAGACCTCACAGCCGCTATGTACTCGTGGTGAAGTCGGGTGACTCATTCTGTCCCCAGCACTTGATAAAAATACCCCTTATCCAAATCCAATTTACCGGCGCCGATCTATCTCCTAATCTTAATGCACTTTCCCAGTGGATTTTTCCTAAACGGGAGCAGAAATGTGCTGGCTGGCTGACGCATTCTTAGCCTATTGGTAGATAGATTGCACTCGCTGAATGAGTATTTTGGCCCTCTACTTTTCAAAACGATCTTATATCATTTTAGTCAACATGGATACAATCTCAGACCTCTTGCTGGGAACTGAAAGAAATAAGTTTTTTTCTCTCCCCGCCCTTCTTTTTTTCCATATGTGTTCCCCAAGGAGGGCAGTTCTTATGTCTTACGTTTCCCACGACAGGGCCTCCCATAGTATAGACTACCTTGATTGCACTCAATAAAAGTAACAATTAGCAAGGCTGAGGGCTGAGCTCCAGGGACACCGATTGGTTCTCGAGGGCTGTTCTCACAAAGTACTGCAACTGCGTGGCTTATCACCCGAAATATATTGCCTCGCGGCTCTGGAGGCTGGAAGTCTGCGAAGGCCGCAGGGTTGGTTTCTGAGGGTGGAGAGGAGGACCCCGATCCAGCCCCCTCTCCTCGGTCCTGGCGGTTTGCTGGCCGGCTTGGGCGTTCCTTGGCTTATGATGGCATCGCCCTCACTTCTGCCTTCATCTCCACGGGGTGTTCATCTGTGTATCTCTCTGTGGCCAAATCTCCCCTTTCTATAAGGACACCAGTCATATTGGCCAAGGGCCCCGCCCTACTCCAGTCCTGCTTCATCTTAACTCATCTAACTACACTATTTAGAAATAACCTCATTTCTAATGGGTGACATGCTGAGGTGCCAGAAGTTAGAACTTTAATACTATATGAATTGGGGGGTGGAGGGCATCGATCTAGGTACCTACCATTTGTAAATTAAGAGATTTTTAGCCAAATCTCCAATACTCTGAACCCCATTTTATTCATTCATTCACCTAGCCAACCTTTACTAAGCTCTGTTTTTTAAAACCAAGTGCTGTCTAAGACACTAGGGCTATGACATTGAACCAGACAGACACAATCACTACCTACAGAAAGCCTGTGCTCCCATGAGGAGTAAAGGTAAGGAAACACACCTTAACAAGAAATTGAGTCGAGTGCCGCGAGGTGGAAATTACAGAATCAACCAGGAGCACAGGACAGAATTGCCGCACCTTGTTTGGGGACTGGGGTAGAGAGCTGGGACGTCCTCCCCTGAGAAGCGACATTAAAGTGAGCGCTTAAGGACATATCTCAGTTAGTTGGGTAAGGAGATGCAGAGTCAAGCCTTTGGGGCTAACAGGAAGATTAAATTGGATAAAATAATTCAGATAAATGTTATCCTCTTGCTCCCACTTGCTCCTAGGAATTCAACTCTTTTAGACTCTGCTGTGGTATGAAGCCGCTCATGTGTGCCCGGCTCTGTGCTGACTTCCCAGAGCTTATCTACTTTTTGATGACAACTCTTTTTTAATCCTCACCCGAGGATATTTTTCCATTGAATTTTAGAGAAAGTAGAAAAGAGAGGGAAAGACAGAGAGAACCATCAATGTCGATTGGTTGCCTCCTGCATACAACCCAACCAGGGCCCGAGCCGGGGAGGAGCCTGCAACCTAGGTAAGTGTCCTTGACTGGAATCAAACCCGGGACCTTGGAGATTTGGCTAAAAATCTCTTAATTTACAAATGGTAGGTACCTAGATCGATGCCCTCCACAGGCCGACGCTCTATCCACAGAGCCAAACAGATGAGAGCTTGGTGACGATTCGTTAAGTACTAGCATCGTCTAAAAAGTAATAAGAAGAACTACCCCATTTGGACTCAATTATGCAGTGCAATGCAAAGAGGGTGAAAATCTTTTCTAATAGCATATTGTGACTTTATAAGCCATCATTATGATCATTCCTTTATTACATATTTATGTCTGGACACAGTGATAAATGCAGCCTATAGCGTCATTAATATTGGAGATGCTGAGTTGGTGCCGCTGAATTTGTGGTCCTATAAGTAGACTCCCTTCGTTCTTACAAGAATTCTGTCCATTTAGGCCTGCACGAACACAATTGATTTTTAGGAGCTCAAGCACACATTTCATGCAGCCTCACAAAAATGCACTGAGTTGATTAGGACACTGCGTTCCAGGCTGTCAGGATGACCTGAGTCCTGCCTTTGTCATTCACATCAGCTCTTGCCCAGTCCATGTGCTGAGCTCCCCTTCTGTGACTACGACTGAGATTCTGCAGACAGGGTCACAGCCCTAGTTTATTTCCTTTGCTTCTGCCAACTCCAGGTTCAGGAAAACAGAGCCCCTGCCAGTTGGCACCTGTCTCTAGCTCCTGAGAAGATACAGCCTGAAGCAAGATTTCAATAATCTTCTTTCACCCCTTCTCCTCGGTGGGGCTTGTTATGAATCCTGCGCTCAGATTCGGGGACTCAGTGGCCCAGTCATGCCTTTGGGGGCTTTCTTTCTGCCCCTGATTGTGAGGGCACCCTTAAGAGGACCCACTGACCTGCTGCTGTCCTAGCACCTCCCATCCCATGTCCCGATCTCCTACTTCCACACCCTCGCTGTCCATGTGCTGAGCGGACACGCCCTGCCCAGACCAGTCCATGGTTTGCAGCTGGGTTGACAGTTTCAGAGGTAAAAAGCAAGGAGAATATTTTGTTCACATGTTTCAAGTTAATGATGCTTTTTATAGAAATCACATTGTTTCTCAAAATCATTGCATTCTTAAAAAGTTTGAAGCCTACCACATGGCCATCATATAATAAAGGGTATTCCAAGAAAATGTATACACATTTTAAAAGGTGAGTCATAAAAGTACTGAAAATCTTAATGATATTATAAATGTAAATTGTGGACAGAGCCACATGCCATATAAAATGAGGGAAGTTAAAAATAATATGGTACATATGAAATATGGCAAGGTCTCCACACAATATAAAGTGAAGAGAAAATCTTCAGCTGAAAAATGAAAACCGTAAATAGATGTAAAAATAAAATGTGAAAGATAATAAGTATCTGAAAATGTGTCTTATTGAACTTGCAATCCATTAGCTTCTGCCCAGGGAACTGTCAGTTATGAATCCTTGCAAAACTGGCAGGTAGCCATAGAAATGCACCATTTTCACATAAAACAGCGAGAAGCCTCTTTGGTAAT